AACTGGACCACAGAGCCATATTTGAATCAACATGTTTGGAAGCAGTTCATAAATTGCTGCATTCACAGGGCCTAAGAGAAAACTATTAGCCTCTAATTACCTAACAAACCCAAATTTATTTATAATTAACCAAATAGATTTAACCAAAGCACTAGCTTTGCAGCACTCCTATTCTGTTACTGAAAACTCACCTTAATTTTACAGTCCATGGAACAAGACAGCAATAAATGGCCAGAGAGAGGAAACAATCTGACTGCACTGACGCCCTATAGAAAGGTATTAGAGTTATCAATCAGAAGCATTCTAAAACCAGTTAAAATAAAACATAAGGAAAGGACAGTATAATTTTAAGCAACCTAATTTACTATTTTTCTTCATTCCAAAATTCATGCCTCTTCATAATAATCTTCATTAGTATTCCAAGAGCAGCCCCATTGACACAAAGCTTCTGAAGATTTTTTAACCTTTACTATTGACTTCCTCACCCAAGGAAATCCTTAGTCAATCAGGCTGCTAACACCCCATTCCTCTCCCTTCTTTCACTCAGTCCCTTTGCTCTTTGCTAACAGCTATCTATACATTGTCGGTTGGAATACTGCAGATGACAAAGATTAGCAACATCAAAAGTTCTCAATACCTTGTCTCTGCATTAGTTTAAATACTATCATAGTTTATAAACTAGGGAACATCTAATCTTTGAAGGGTGATAACCTCACGGGATAAGGCAAAATTATTGAAGCGCTGGTGCCAGGACAAGCCTATCACTCACTGACTTGGTGCCCACGAGGAAGCAGGTTGTGGCAGGAACTTGAAGGGCAAGGCCAGGGCTGCCATAAGGGGATAGGACACCAAATCATAAATTCTTATGACAAGGCCAATCCAGATGGCCTTGAAGACCGAGTCATCACTTGTGACTAATATGTGTGGGGACCTCCAAAGCCTAACTCAGGTTTATCTTCAGTTTGACTTCTCTGCTTTATCTTGAATTTCCTACACTTTTACCCGAAATAGGGAATGTTCCACATCAATAGTTGGAACTTTATGTTGGTTTCATTATAATACTTCACAAGAAACAAAAAAAGTGAGTTTGCTTACCTTTGTGTGTCCAGACCACACATGAATTTGTTTTTTGGGAAGATAACATTTCTCAGGTGGCACAGATGACCGCAGGTTAACACCAACATCCTGAGGTATGTGCAGATAGGACCTGCCTTGATAGTCATACATTTCTTTAACTGAAACAAGAAGGCAAAGAAAAGCAATGAACAAATACAAGCCATAGACATGAAATTTATATCCTTAAATGACAACAAACATTTATTCAAGAGGTATTACGCCATATTAATGTTTCAGTAATAACACTCTGATGCTAAGACCAAGATGGGCTAAAATTTAGCTGCCTGAAATCATTGCTATTGTTTACAATCAGAGGTAGTGTTTTTCAATTCCTAAATACCCAGAGAATATTAGACCTCTAAGTAAGATCTATACTTCTTTAACACAGTTACAGATTTTACTGATTATAAAAGACTTTACTGCAGTATAATTACAGCAAGGTAAGAAAAAGAAATACTTGGGCCTTGTAAGTCACTGGCAAAGAATCAGAAGCAAAACAGGATAAGAAGGGAGTTATAACAAAACAAAAAATAGCAGCTATTCTCCTACCCTGCTTTCCTCTTTTATGCCCCTCTGGGTTCCTTTTCCATTGTCCTTCCTACTGATTTTACAATCAAGTCACTTGTGGGAACTAAGTGACATAGTGTATATAAAGCATGTAGTAGCAAGCCTGGCATAGCGTAAGTACTAAATAAATGTTGGCTGTTTATTGTTATTATGGCTGCAAACACCACAGTACTAAATGGACTCCTTGGAGACAGAACTGGAGCTTGAGAAACCAAGCATGGCTTCATTAAACCTAAATATTTGATATGTGATATAATATTAGAATAATCAATACTATCAGTGCTGAATTATTCTTTATAGTTTCAGATAACCACTACATAATTTCCTAAACATAACTAATTATTAATGAACCATGTATACTCTAGAATATTTAGAATTTATTTTGGTATATATGCATTTCCTTCCACAAATCAAAATAAACATGAGAGTCTCAATGTCCAATTTATTCAAAAGGAAAACAAAGTTTATTCTTTTAAAGTATAATCTAGTAATTATGAGGAAAACTGGAGAATATTTGATTTGGGTTAAAAACAAAAGGTTAAAATGACTGGGGTAGTACTGACACACCAAAAAGAGTCAACTGTGTCTTAGGAAAGAGCATGTCGAACACTCAGGTTTCTTTTTTATCATTTTTTAAAAATTCATCAACACTAAAAAAATTATCTGTGGCTATTATTAATCATGCGATTTTTCTCTTCATTACTAGAACATAAAAGAGTTTGTTGTAATTTCTTTGGGATACAAACTGTCCAATATAATTCTTAATATAATGAATTGTAGCAGCTGATTAATAAGGACAATTGATATTATATGAACAGAGACCAGAGTAAATATCTATAAGTTTATCATAAAGATGAAGAATCATAAAAATACATTACCATGTAAGATTGTCTTTTCCTCCCCAGGTTTCTCTTCTTCCTGTTTGCCTTTTTTCTGCCTCTTTGCTGTGATTTCATCTAATTCTTTTTGTTCTTCCTAAGGAAAATAAGGAGTGAACTTTAAAATGCATGTTCTAGAACCCCATCATGGCCAAGTTGATCATAAATACTTTATAATGAAGTCCACTTTTTGGTGAAGCAATAGCTTCAAGTATGTCTCCCAGGGCAACATTCTCAACAATTCAACAGATTACAAAATAACAATAAACACATAATGGATACTAGTTAATACTTTTAAACTCCTTTTATATAAAACCCATCCTTCTGGAACACCTAGAAATATATTAAACATATTACGCTAATTACACAAGTGAAGGGACAAGGCAATTGGAAAATCTAGTACCAGAAGGAAACTGAGTTTCAGTACACAATGTTGTTCTTCAGTAAATAGTCTTTACAGAGTCATAAGGATATAAGCAATGACAATAGATTTGTGACACAACTTTTATAGAAGGAGCAGTTGGAAGAGAGGTAGGATAGTAGAAAATCTTTGTAATAACGAAGAAGTCAACAGATGATGTCTAAAATAAATAAATAACAGCATATGTATATTACTGACATATATGGATATAAGATACAGCTAGAATATAAGCTTCATGAGGATAGAATTCTTTTGATCTTGTCCATTACTGTATCCCTAAGATCTAGCACAATGATTGGCTCATAGAGACAGTAAGATTAGGATGTGGGAGGGAACAGGGTAGTTTTACTTTATAAACTTCATAGTATAATTTAAAAAAAAAGCCAATATAGATATATTACTCTAAAAGTTTTAAATAAAAAAATAAAAAAATAAATAAATAAATAAAACCCACATCATTTCTACAATCATAGAAAGGCTGATTCTTTAGTTATTATATGAATATCTGGCAGCTACCATGGCAGCCTAATAGCATTATCAAGGTGATTTTTATAAAAATTGTTTAATATTGAATTGTAATAAGAAAGTATGGAAGAAAATAAATCAGAAACAAATATAAGTAAAAATAGTCCAAAGAAAAGCAAAGAAACTATTTTCTCAATTAATCAAGGCAGCAAAATTTTTGATGAGTCATTTGGTTCTCTAAAGAAATCTCAAGTTTATTAATATAGATATCCTTCATAAAGATATAGCATACACCTGAATTGACAATGAAAGACATCAAAGCTTACTTCTGAAGGTTTGGCTACATCTTTTTCATCAACATATTTTGCCCAAGGTCCCAAGAAACCATCAATATTAGATGCATCATTTTCTTTGAACTTTTTCCTCTTTTCTATTTTCTTCTGACCAGTTTCAAACACAGTTAAACCTACATTAAAAAAAAAAAATAGACAACACAAATATGGATTTTTTTCTAAAGAAATAGCTGCATATATATAATTGTACTTTACATGGCTTAAAAAGGTGATTGTTCATGTGACTAAAGATTTAAAAATACAAAATAAAATCTGTATGACTATGACCAATACAACTCATATTATACAAAAAGGGATTCAACCTTCTAGGCAAAGAAGTTTTCTACCGATGTTGTATTTTGGAAATTCTACTATATGTGAAGAAAATACCCAGCTATGTAATCCTGTAATAGTACACAATCCTTTTAATGAATCATAGACCTTTATCAGTAGATTTTACCACTTTTTGAAAGAAATGTAGCAATTTAATATTGCTAAATAATGATAAAGCTATCTTTGAAAGCAAGAATAAACAAATTTATCATTTAAAAACTGAATTAGAGGACCGGCCGAGTGGAGTGTTGGTTAGGAGTTGGCTTGGGACGCCAGCTCTGAGCAGCAGGGCTACGGTTTGGATCCCACATGAAGGCCAGTGATGCTGCGCCCTCTACAGCTAAGATGGTGAACAACAGCTCGGCCTGGAGTAGGGCTGCTGTGAGTCGCTGGCAATGGCGTAGGCTGCAGTGGGGCTGGCTGGCAGCGGGCGTGCGCTTTCGTGAGCTGCAATGAGCCACCATGAACGGCCGTCCAATGGCCGGCGAGCGACTGCCTCACCCGGGAAGAGCGCAATGATAATGCCAACATGGGCCAGTGAAGCGATGTCCTCCACAACTAGGCTGAAGAACAAAAGGACAGCAACTTGTCTGTTCCCCTTCCCTGATTTCCCAACACTGTTCTCCTCCCCCAATTCCCCAATAAAATCTTTAAAAAAAAAAAAAACCACACCTCGATTAGATTAAATTACATTAAGTAATTAATAACTTATCTTTGATTTAGTTGTAATGCAACAACATAAATTTAATAAAGTTTCACAAACATCTGGTATTTCTTCTAAGCGATTGCAATCTCAACTTGACCTCTAATATATATCTTAACAGTAAGAAGGAAAAGAAGAAAGAGGATGTTTCTGGTTGAGATTTGGATTTGCTCAGTAGAAGGTGGCATACTGTATAATCATTAAATTGGAATAAGAAAGGTTTATGGGAGTCATGGTCGGAATTTAGTTGTTAACTGAGAATCTAGCTACATAAATGTGTGGCTTGTAGAGGTACAACTTAAAGAAAAAAAGCTTACCTATGTTAACTCAAATCAGTTTCCTTTAGGTTGTGTGTTATAACAAAAGCTTGTTAAAATTCTATTTTAACAATGATCTATCTTATACACCGAGGGCAGCTTGATCAGATAGGGTCTGTAGCTACTAAGCATCCCTGTACAAACTTCTTTTAATGAGCATTTTATGGATAAGATTCCAATGGGCCGATGAGCTTTGTGACAAGTTAACATTTAGATATGATACTCTGCCTAACAATAAACACAAAATGAGTATGAACACAAACATACTGGTATATTTTGAAACACATATTCAAAACTCAGCCTTCGAAGCAACCATTCAAAGACAATTTCCACAGACATGCACAATAAAATTTTTTCTGCTGTTAAAATGTAGCTTTATATTAGCGTTGAGAAATAAATTGCTAAAAATAGCTATACATTAATTCTAATTTATTGAATGATTTCTACAGGGTTGGCACAGTGCCAAATACTCATAACAACTCCCCAAAACAGGTACAACTATCTTCCCTACAAGGCTGCACACATAATAAGTGGCAAAAGGCAAGCTGTAATCTTGCTTTTAGAACCATAGTTCTAAACTATACTGTTCTAAACTGTATCACTATTGAGAGCATTTGAGATCTTGCTCCCTGGCACACTGTCAGTTTTGGCTCAAATAAACTTTTATAATAACTCAAATAAATAAACAAACAAATAATCACCACTGTCTCAACTTAAAAAAAACAAAAACAAGAGTGAAATAAAATGCTAGTATTTCCCTATTGTCTAAAGTCACTTTTCAAGATAGTAATTATAGGTACATATGTCATTTCAAATAAATTACCTTGATTTTTTTCAGCTTCTTCAACAGAACCAATATACTTAGTAGCTACTTGATGAGTATCTAATGAAGGGTCCAATGCATAACCTGAAAGGAAAGGAGTACAAATTATTGACTCCATTTTTGCCATTTACAATTGTAATTTTGCCAATTACAAACATACTCCTTTAATTTACAATTCATTTTAATTCTATACAAACATACTCCTTTAATCCCCAGATGTCGAAAATGGTCTCTAATTTAGGACCAATCCTTCTTTCCTGAGCTATGTTTCTATTTAGAACAATTGACCCAAATCTCAGGTTACACCAATGGGAGAATAGGAAGTATGCTAATAACTTCAGCATACTGACATTATAGTACTAAAAGCCCTCTGGCCAAGATAGCACATGGCTGTCTTAAATTTTGTAAGACCTTAAAAATACACATATACCATACATTCAGAAGTTTAGAAACTCTTTTTCTTTTTGGTGACAAATAATACATGGCTTAGTTTATCAAATTATATAAACCATTAAATAATAAAAAAAAGTAAGAAGAATCACATAATATCTAGCTGTTATTTTGAAAATCCCATTCCCAGTAAAGACAGTCTGTCCTTCCAGTTTTAAAATAACATATTTCTACTTCATAAATCATTACTTATATTTCTGTCATAATAGAAGTAAATAGGGATATCTACAAGCATATAAATATATTCTTTCAACATGAGTATGCAGTTACACATAAATGTGGTCTCTAGTGGTCTATGGGAACTTAAGGAAAAAAAGTCTGTATTAAATCAGTTTTTTCTCAAGTGTGGGTGCTAGCATGATAAATGTTTGTAAAAATCAGTTTTAATAATAATCTAGCATATTCATAAAAAAGGACTATATCATTAATCAGTGTATGGCCTACAACCCACATCAACAATCATGGAATACATAAAAGTATGAACCTATTTTCTTTTTTAAGGGCACATCTTAGTGGATACAGTTAACAGTTTAATTTTCCATCTAAGATTAAAAGGAACTTATTCAGGGAAACAGAAAACAATTTGTCATCAAACATACTTTTGAAACAAGCTAAGGGTGTAGGTGCCCAACTCACTCTCATGATATGCTTAGAATAGAACCAACCACCTGGCTATTAGCTTATTTGCATATAGTTCTTTTCAATATTTAAAATATGTTCTTAGCCAGAGGAAACAGCTTGACAGCAGAAAAGCAGCTTTGGAATAGAATCTCTGAAGTTATAGGTTCAAACCCCATGAGTTATTTTATCTTTCATCTCTTTGATGTACAGAATAGTGTTCTGTAAATGATGTTTTTTTAAAATGAGACTATATAAAAGCTCATATAGAATTTAGACAACATACCATAAGTTAAAAAATCTCCATCTCAGCCATAACGTATCTAGTATATCTATCTTGAAGGAGATTTATGTCTATATAAACAGCATTGCATTATATATTTGGAGGATGGAGTAGGAGGCAGAGAGAGAAGGGAGATCCCTGGCCCTTCCTATTTACTGTGTAAGCACCAATCGCCAAACTCATCCAGCCATAGTCTTGTTTCTGAGGAGAGGAACTTCTCATCTCCTTTTCCACATCCTCTGTGGTAAAATCTTTACTGGTACTATCACCATTACCACCACTGCCTCCTACCATAGGTAACTAGCATAATATTATTTCCCTTTACGAATAAGAGAAGTTAAAATATTTAGCTATGTGTCCTACTAGAATTCAGCCAGTGACAGAATAAGATGTACCTCTAACACTACAGAACTTCAGTCCAATCTGTTTTCTACTGTACTATGTATCAAATAAATGAATATATCTGTATTTTAGTTCTGAAATATTCTCATCTATCTTTCTGAAGCTTATTTTCCATTTTATCTTTTTAATGGATTTAATGTCTACTTTCTTCATTTGTAGTCCTATTTGAAATGGCTACCAATTTTATTATTTATCCTTAAGATTATTAATACTAATATCCAAATAGGTAAATCAGAAGAGATTATAAACAATTTGCAAAAGAATGGTTACAAATACAGGCATACCTCAAAGATACTATGGGTTCCGTTCTGGACCACCAAAATAAAGTGAGTTGTAATCTTTTTGCTGATGAAGGGTCGTGCCTCTAATTTGTAAAAAATGCAAAATTTGTGAAGTGCAATAAAGCAAAGCGCAATAAATGAGGTATGCCTATGTATGGAAAAACTTCAAACTCACTAGTAGTCCAAAAGAATAAAATTTAAACAAGGATAAATAATATTTTGTTTAAGATATACAGGAAAAAACAATCATGGATCTTGGGTAAGGAGAAACAGGACTTCCATACATGGTGGTGGCAGTATAAGTTGGGAGAATTCTTTTGGAAAGCCATTTCACAATACATAACAAAAGCTTTAAAAACTTTTATATTCTTAGACCTACTTCTGGGAGTTCATCTTAAGAAAATAATGAAAAGCACTCAAAGTTTTATGCACAGATATTCAGCACATTAAAAAAAGCATTTTACTGAAGTTTAATATATACATCATCACATTTTTAACAGTGAAAACTGGAACCAACTTGAAATCTAAATGATACAAGGAATTTTCACATAAATCATGACATCTAGATTCATAGTATTTTAAAAAATCGTTTAAAAAGGTTAATAAAGAGCTTCTAATATTGAAGTTAAAGCTAAGTTACAGGAACTATAGTGAAACTAAAGATATTTATTTTAAATTTTATTCCATAGACTGGTGTAGAGAAAATTCTGGGTGAAAGGAGAGCAAAGGAAGAAATCTCACTGAGAAGCCCCAAGTAAGATCAGCAAGGGAGCAAGCAGGCCAGGAACCTAAGAGGGAAAGGGAGGAAAACAGGACAAAAGGATTCACATAAACCACCGAGAGACGGAGAAGTCAAGAGAAATACCACCAATGGGAGCTAAAAGCAAAACTGTATAATAAAATGGGACAATACAGCAAATGAGACAGACCGTCTTCACCGATAAGGAGTCTACATACAAGTGGGTTGTGATAAACTAAATGTAGTCTGCAATATAAATCTTCCAGAAATAATACACTTAGATTATAATATTGCTGCAACTATTTAAAAATGGGGGGGGGGGGAAGTAGGATTAATGTTTGTTCTCTTTCCCAGCAGAGTTATAGAGTGGTAAATACAGGTATGAGACTTAGGGAACCTGAATTCATGTACATCTCCTTTATGTCTCACACATAACACTAGTACAAGACTGAGGGTTTGCTCCCCGGTACTTTGCAAATGAGGGAAGGTAACAGAAAGTTCTCATAGTCTTACATCCCATGTATCTGAGTGAGAGATTATCTGAACGGAATCACTATCTGAAGTTAGAAAAGAACTTTCTATGAGAAAATTATAAGACTTTTAAATTAACCTGCTTAATGCTTGGGGGTAAAAAAAAAAAAAAGGGAGACTACTAAACCTGAGGTTGATTAACTAGTTTATTAATTTAAGTTCAAACAAATTGCTCTCTGTTCTAAGATTATTATAAGGGAGACAGACCACAATTTTATTAGTGTGCAGCTGGCCACTCCCTCTATTCAGGTTGCATAATACAGTATAGCCTGACACTCATATTTTTTGTCTTTAATTCACAAAAAACTTTCAATTTGTGTCCTAACCCACCCCCTCCTAATGGGAGAGGCAAAAAACACCAGTTATTAATAATAAGTCAATTTCTGAACCCAGGTCTAAAGCCAACTGAATAATTTTAAATGCTTATTCTTTTCCATAGGGTAATTTAAGAAGGAAAGTAGGTATCAGTATAAGCTTACTTGGACTTTTCCCCCTTTTGTTTTAAAGGAGACCTAAGCTATCTAAAGTATTGATTAAGGTTCTTCTAAAGTCTAAGAAAACAAGCAAACTCTTTAAATCTGTTTTATTATGTTAAAATATAATAAATTCATGATGCAATAGAGTTGACTGATGTTTATGTGCTCCATATATACTTACATGGGATCCCTTATACAAGTGATGGGTACAATGCATTATAACCATCTTATTTCACTGAAGTCTTCTAGGTGATTTTAGAGGTAGTGTTAGTTGTGACATTTCACACACAATTATAACCTTGCCATAGTGAGATATGATCTAATAAATGACAATCATTTTATAACTAGTTTCTCAGAATATACTGTGATAAATAATTAAGCTTCTAAAGTAATTTACAGTAAGTCCATCTGCATCACTCACTAAACATTACCAAAAAAAGTAACCTTCCAACATTAGAATAATAATGTAAATTATGATAGAACCAATCAATGGCTATTACATAGCTCTTAAAACTGTTAAGCTTTGAGACTATAAATACTGAAAAATGCTTACGATAAAATATTGAATAAAAAAGTGAGATGCGAGGCTTGGCCAAGTGGCTCAGTTGGTTAAGAGCTTGCTGAAGAGTGCGAGCTTTGAGCAACAGTGGTTTGATGCCCAGCCCAAGCTGAGCTGCAGCTAAGCTGCCAACAGGTGGCAGAATGGCTCAGCTTAAAAAAAAAAAAAAGTGAGATGCAAAATTTTCAATTTAGAAAGATTATAGCTCTGTAAAGAAATGAATATGAAAAAAGACCTGGAGGGATAAAGACCACAATGCTGAGAGTAGACATTTTAGTATAGTGTCATTAGAAGTAAACATTTTCTTCTCGTTCCTAAATGTTTAAAATTTGTTTATATGACTTTTTAATGAAAATAACTTATTAAAAGCATCATTGAAAATATAATATTGTTTTTAGTCCTATCTTATAATAATGGAAGTTAATGGTAGATAGGAGAAAAATTTGCTTAGATCTTTAAAAGAAAATTCTAGCATAAGAAATAAAAGGAGGAGGTATTAGAATTTTAACTGCAAAAAAAATTTAAAAAAAGAGACAATGTTGCTGATGTCTAAAATGTGATTATTAAATCTACTGTAAAAAAATTCAGTTTTCTTTTTCAATTATTCTTTTGGAAAAGAAACATCAGTACAAGTAATGAATTCATAAAGAAGATGACTACCACAACAGGCATTAAAACCATTCTCATTTACTTTGCTCACCCACCCCTACCAAAAAACTCTAAAGCAGAAGGTGATCAGTGTGTGTCTGTCAGCCTACAGATGTGGATTGTAGGAAAAGAAAGGAAAGGCACTACCAAACATGGACAAATCTGATATAAGTGACAAGGACCTATGATCTGTGGAACTCTCAACAAAGACATTATAAAGACCATTTTCTTTTAGAGATTAATTCCCAGCCTTGCGTACATATTTTCTTATGTCTTGCCATTGATAGGACGAAATTATTTTACACAATAAATTTGTGGCCATTCTATTTCCTGATGTCCCTCATTGATCAAAAGAATATTTTTCAGTGGTAAGACCTGAGAAACAGAGTAAGGTGAACAAGCGTATAAGATAATGCAACCTCTTAATCTATCCTGTTATTTACTAACTTCAATGGCAATCTACATATAATAGATATTCAATAACTGTTCATTATCAAGTACAACAGAGAGAATATTCTGTTTTTAAAACCACAGAATATTTTTAATACTCAGAAATCATAGATTTAGAATGACAGCTAAAAATATTAGTTTACCTTCCCCCTAATATAAATATTTATAGATGTGTAATATCTATATTTCTTACACATATAGATGTGTAAGAAAATGCACTACCCTTTTTGAAAGAATCCAGATTAATAAAGTTTAAAAGATGGAAGATAAAATAGCTTATCTCACATACACACAACACCTAATAAAGTCAAACCTGAAATTGTTAAGTCTAATCATCTTACCATATGTGGCAAAAGTTCTTCTTTGCTGTTCAAACATAAAATCATTGATATGAGCTGGTTCAGCATATCCAGAAAGCATATTTCTAGGGGCAGCCATTTGCTGTGTCCTAAAGGGATTTTCTGGTCCAAACTGTAGTGTTACAAGAAAAAAAAGGGGGGAAAAAAGGAAAAACTTAAATTCTGAGCGTGTAAGGCAAAAATTACTAGAATAATATACAACATACAATGTATTTTCAACTCTAAATCATCAGGGCCAATTAACCAATTTGGGAACATGCTCACCTCACTTAGTTCAGTACAATTGGGCTATGGCTGATTAGGACAGCTTGTCAGCCCCTAGGACAGAGGAGGGGAACCTAGCTTATCCAAGTCTATAGGTGGCTATTTAAATTTAAATTAATCTAAATATTCAGTTCTTCAGTCACATTAGCCACAATCCAAGAGCTCAATAGCCACGTAAGGTCATACTACACTGCCATCATCACAGGAAGATCTATTTGGCAGTGTTGTTCTAGATAATTGAGACTTACTATAGTTTTGTCTAAACCATGATTTGGAAATTTTGGGCGACTTTTATATTGATAATGGTACCATGATGTAATAAAAAAATACATATTTTCCCTCTACTAGATTATGAGTTCTTCAAAGGTGGAGACTTAGAATCCTCAATACTTACAATAGTGCCTGGCATATATAATAGAAAGCACTATTGAAGAAAAGATTAATCACAATCCTATTAGGGGCAGAAGATGGTAAAATAGACAATAAAAGTAAAATGCTTGAAAAAGTCCCTAGGAAAAGACATTATAAAGTTTCTCCACTCTGAAATGTCACACTATGTAAGTCAGTCTTACAGAAAATAGCACCATTATTATCTATTTGTTTATTATTCTTTGAGTTTCCAGAATGGCTTTCCAAATGTTATTTACTTTGTACAAAAATCTTGGAAAGTTAGAGAGATATTTATTTTCTTTCTCATGTTAGAAATGAAGAAAAAAGCCGAAGATGAGGTATTTTACCTGCTTTAGAATCAATAGTTTTATTAACTTGTAGAATCAAGGCTAGAATAAATCCTAATCTAGTATTCTATTACATCATAATATTCCTTAAACATACAATCATAGACTCTATTTAAAAAATTGGGTAAAAAACACCCAGAATGTATTATGTTAAGTGCTATTAACTTAATGTTATTATAAAAGGTATATATTGGGCAAATCCAACTCCTTTCTCTTTTGTTTTAAAATAAAAAAAAGAATTTCTCCCTTTGGAAATGGTGGAATCAGACAGGATATTTTTATTTGAACTCTGGAAGGTCTACTGTCATGATGAAATATTTTGACATTAGAACATCTTAGGTCACTACCATTAGAAACCATCTTTTCTATGATACATTTCCAGAGCCTAAATATAAATTATTGATCTTCTCTTAACCAGAATGTTGCCATCTCTAAATATCAACATTATGCACTAAAATCTGAATTTAAATTATGTTAGACTTGCCTTAAAATTTCTTCTGCTTTAGAAGAAAATAAATTACAATATTTCTTTTTATTGACAGCTTCCATTTCTATGTTTTAAATGGTTCAATCTTAAAATATCTGACATATATAAGGCTTTTGTTACTATTTATTCTAAATTATAATAAAGGGTAGTACAAGACCTTGCAGCCCATATTAGTTCTTCCTTTGCTGATGGGTGGAAACAAAGGGAAAAAAATCGAGTTTGCTGAATGATGGAATTTACAGTTAACTTTTTCAGTTATCAAATTTATTACAAAACAAGAAAGATCTATAAAATTAAAGATAATAAAATGATGTAAAAGTTTCCTAGATGCTCTGCCTGCTATAGTCAGCTATCATCTGCAAAGCAGCATATGATTATTTCGGGGGGGGGATCTAAAATGATAAAAATCCCCATTGTTTTCATTACTCCTATCACATCTCATAAATGATCAATTGTGCTTTTAATTTCCAATTGAAAAAAGAAAAACACAGTCTCCATTATAAAATAAAACCTTATTTTATTAAGATTTTACAAAAAGAGAAAAATTCTTCAAAAGGCCATGACTATCAAACTGGCTCCATCTGTTAAAGAAAAATTCTCAGTGTTAAAGAACTTTGATTTTTGTATAAATACAGATACATATATTACAGTTAAGTATATCTCATACGTGGTGCTATTTCTAACTCAGTCTAAAAATTTAAACATGCTTATGTTTTATAGCTATTTAAGCTAAGACAACAAAAATATCTTCTAATGATATAGGAAGCTGCCCGGGGGAGGATCCATCTGTGTGTCTGGCTCACCTTAGCTGCCTGCTTACTGGCAGCTAGCGAAGCTGACCTTAAGTCAACAGACAAAGGCAGAGAACGTGATTTAGTAGGACTCAGCTCTTCCCAATTGCTCAAAAAATGTCTCCTAGATGTTTCTGGTCTCTGTGAATGTGCACCTCTTTTAATTCTGGGTTAACCATTAAAAACAAAACAAAGCATATAAAAAACACACAAAAGTAATTTCCAAATACTCTTTTCAACTTCTGGTAGTTAACTAAGTTTAAGCATAAATTTGTATTTAAGTGATTAAAAAAATACACATTCAAGTTAATTAGGTATGAGTATTTAACAGTTTTTAGCTAAGACAATATTAAAGTACACCAAAGTCAATTACAATCGTAATCTTCCATATAAAAATATACACATTTAAGTATTAATTCAAATCATTATTCCCAAAAGAATGTATGATTTTCCTGGGAGAGGTAAGTATCTTTAAATCTTTCACCTGAGTGAAGTAATGATTTATTTAGAGTTGGGAGAAAAGCATTTTAAACTTGTGAAGGCACTGGTTGATAAATCTAAGAGATCTGCATATTATAAGGCAGTGATTCTCTAAAGTCTTCAGTAGGTAGAGTACTTGAGTATCAATGTCTTAGCAGTATATCATAACATTACAGGAATTAAGAAAATATATACTAGTAAAAACTGTCTAGTATGTGAAATCATAATCATAAGTTCACATAGAAAAATAAAACACAAGTTTTATTTTTAAAACTAATCATCATACTTAAGATTGTTGGTAAGGTTTTCATTAATATTTACTGCAGTCATCAATATTTAAAACATTCATAAACAAATTTTAAGGTGAGGAGAGTCTGTTGATTAACTGTTTTCTACAAATTTAGAAAAGATCACCACAATGCAATTTTACTGGTGGAATACCTCAATCTTGTAAGACATAAGCACAATTTAAATATTATTAGTATAAGACTATTTTATTAGGGCTGGTTCTGTAACCTTGGGCCTTAGTTCCCTCATCTATAAAAGAGCTGAGCCATATGATTTTTAAAGTTCGTTCTAATGTTTATAGGAGCCCACACAGCCAGATTTTTAACAGTTACTGGCATTTTTCCCTATTAACTTTTACATTTTTTTCTATTCCTAAAAGTATTATTATTTTAAGTCTGAAAAATCTCTCTGAAGCTTATGGGTTTTATGTAAGTCTAGAGAAGCTAATAAATATACTTTTCTCTAAGTAGATACAAAAAGGATTGAGTGAAATGAAGAAAATGATTAGACTAAAACAATGGCTACTGTCTTTAAGTTTTATCTATAAATTTGAGAAAGCTCATCTGGATAACTAGGAAGACCATTTATGAAAAGTCCATGGTTGGGAAAGAGAAACAGTATTTTATAAAATAAAATAGCCAATTCAGTTAATTTACTGAACTAGCAGAGTCAAAGGCATAGGGGTGTACCCTGAGAATCCCACAATGGCCTTCAAACTGGTTTTCCAGTTACGGAGCAATTGTTAAGTGATTTGGACTCTGCAAATATGCGGAATGTCACTTGCTGGTCGTATATTCTGAGACTTGGTGGAAACATAAGGATAAGTTTTATAGGGTTGTAATGAAGACTAAAGAAGATAAGGTATGCAAATATATAAATCCCTCAGTATGGTATCTGGCATATAGTAATAAATGGTAGGGGTTTTTTTTTTTAAATTAAAGATTTTATTGGGGAATTGGGAAAGGGAATAGTGTTGGGGAATTGGGTAAGGGGAACATTGTGATTTTCCAGGACCCATCAGCTCCAAGTCAAGTTGTTGTCCTTCATTCTTAGTTGTGGAGGGCACAAGCTCAGCTCCAAGTCCAGTTGCTGCTTTCAATCTAGTTGCAGGGGGTGGGGGGCACGCAACCCACCATCCCATGTGGGAGTCAAACCGGCAACATTGTTAAGAGCACGTGCTGTAACCAACTGAGCCATCCGGCCGCCCAATGGTAGTTTTATTTCATTAGTTTCTATACCTGTTCTTTTCCATCATGCAAACCTTTACCAAATTAACCCCCCTCCCCCCCAAATTCAACTTTAATTATGCCACTCCTCTATTAAAGAACCTTAGAAATCTATTTATCATCTATTAAATCAAGACCAAACTCTTCACCTTGGCCCCCAGAGTCCTGCAGAGTATTTTATAAACTATCATTCTCGTCTTATGGCCCTGTTCTCCCCTACTTATAATGACTAAAACATTCCTGTTCTTTAGATCTTTAATGCGTTGGCTCATGCGTTCTCTTCTGCCTGGAATCTTTCTTCATAAAAGCCCTCCTAGCCATCAATGCCAATAATAGTGATATAAGTAACACTAAGGACTATCGTTTATTAAATACTTACTCTGTGCCAGAGTTTCCTAAGCATATCATACATTATCTCATTTATCCTTATAAGTCAGTAAAGTAGGAATTATCTCCATTTTACCTGTGAGAAAATTAAGATAATCCAAAGCCACACAAGAGTTAAAAAGAGGTCTCTAACTTCAAATTTCAGGTTCTTAAACTGCACTGTGTTGCTTACTTTAAATACTATTTCTGTCATGGAACTTTTTCTTATCTTTACAACCAGATGCAATCTCTCCTTAAACCTAAATAGTACTTTAGAGGCACTAGAAGAAATAGTCTGCTTCCTTTTTGAAAAATATACTTAGCATATCATCTCTAGTAAACAGTAGCTTGTTTCTAGCAATAGATTCTCAAAAATGGGAAGTTGAATTTCATCTAGCAAAATTCCTGGTAATACCTTTCCAGACTTTGCCATTATAGAGACCCTAGTCATAAAATTCAAAGTTAACAATCTGTTATGTCACAGACAATTAATTTGGCAACCAGGAAAACTTGTAATTTTTCACTTTTCAGTTTCATTGTTCTTTAATTAAAATTGTTGACAAGGACAGAGGTGTTCCTAACATAAACTAATGTATATATTTAATGTGAGGCTCCCTAACATGAGAAAAAAAGCCTAGAATATAATCCCATAAACAGAACAGGCCTACTGCCTTGTCATAGCACCACAAAACAATCTTGACCTTTTAAATTTTCTTGAATTTTTGAAAAGTAATCACATAGCAATATTACTAGTTATACACTGGATCTAAAAATTTAAGAAAAATAAGCTTTATAGAAGATATATACACTGACATACAAATGTTATACACCACATTACTGCCAAATTTTCTCATTTTCTGTGTTCAGTGGCCCTATTTTATTGAAGTATTTTTCATTTAAAAAATCATAAAGCATATAAGTAACATATAACCTCTCTTCAATGTGCTGGCAAAAATGGTGCCAAGGAATATGGATGGGGCTGCCTGTAGTTCGACAGGATAGAAGGATTTAAAAAATAATGGAATAAAACTTAAAATGTACCACATTTTGGAGCATGAGAGATTTTTGCTTATACCTAGAGAATAGCTAGTGCACTGTCTAAATACTATAGCACTGACATTGTCAGTTGTGCTACACATTTCAATTGCCATATTTTAAGCGACTACAGAAACCTAAGCACTCAAATTATGTGAAACAGCTTTATGACTCTGCTTTATCAAAACAACCCGAATGACTACACATGAAAAAAATGGAAAAGATTAAAAAGTACCTCTTTTTCCACTAAGATGCAGTAAGATTTGGCTTCACCTCCATCTTTAAAGTGCTTCTTAAAGATCCTGCTACTGAAGGCTTTTTTCTTGTTTTATAGTTGACCATTTTCTGATATCTCTATTTTGTCAATCAAACATTCTTTTTGCTTTTTAAAGGCAAAAGTATCTAGAAATTCAATCTTTTCTACAAACGTTCCTAAATGGACAATTTTCACTATCCATGTTTTTTTAGCTGTTTGTGTTTTCATTCCTCTCCTTCTTTAATGCTTTCATCACCATTTATCATTACCACCATGTGGAAAAATGAATCCATAAGATGTCTTACTCAGAGCAGCCAGTAAACACTGTGACTACTTTCCAGCAGTGACTATATCAATGTCAGTATGGCACCTCTTTTTAGTGTTTAGCACAGCAGCATTTGTAACTAGCTGTTTCATAATATACTATGCATTGATGATGTGAATAAACCAAGTTCTTTTTCCCTTATGGTTAATTTGTAATACTCTCATCAATACTGAGAGGAGATGCTACTAAGTTCACATCTAAGAATCAGATATTTTGAGATTTCATTTTTCAAATGAATATCCATGTTCAATAACTAGTTCCATGATATCAGATAGTTGTATACTGGTAGATAAACATGAGTGGATTTTTAAAAGTGTTCTCACAAAAGCATACACACTATTTAAACTTTTGGAGAATAGAAGGATATGTTTTTCTTTTTAAATTGAGATACAGTTGATATATAATAGGATATATTTTCTAAAAGTTTTAAATAGTATACTTTTGTGAGAAAACTGAAAAATTCACTGTTTACCTACCTATATATAATTTAAATACTTGAGCAAAAGACAGAATCTTAAATATAGTATGTTTTCTCACCTCAGGAGCAAACATGGTCTCATAGGTAGGATTATACTGAACCTCTTTGACAGCAGGGTCAAGGTGAACTCCAGTCTCCAAATCTTCCTAAAAGAAAACCAAATGAACATAAAAGATCTGATAAGTAATTGTTTTATTTTAAAACTACATTAAGTCACACTAGCCATTTTAACACCAATTTTATGATTATTACATTAATGCCATAATTAGTAACTAATAATCAAAGACTAAGAAAAGTAATGTATATAGGTAGAGCAGTTAGAATGCATAACAATTTTTTCCTTTCAAAATACTGACTTTATCCCAACTAAACAAATTAAAAATTTCTAAATAAATTAACATTACTCAAAGCCTTAAATTAAGAGAGTCCAGCTCCTGTTTTTTATTAACTCAAAAGACCTAATTCAGGAGAAGCACTCTTTTTTTATTCAGCAAACCTTATTAGATATATACCCAGATGACACTGGTTAGGGACTGCTGAGGAAAAAGGAAGTGACAGGGCCCAAATCTTCTACAGCCTCACTCTACAACAGGAGCCAGTGTGATGTTTAAAATATTCGTCAGATCGTGTTGCTCCTTTGCTCTACACCTTCCAGTAGCTTCTTCACTAACAAAGGCCCACAAGACTCATTACCAGTTCTTCTGAGAAAGCTTGTTGTTTCCTAGGGCAGTTTTACAGGGCATTTGTGTCTTCCTGTATTGTCCTGCCTGAGCATTTACCTACTAAAAACATGTTTTCATACAGGTTTAATTTCCATATGTAACGTGTTATAAACATCTTTAATTTAAAATTAAAGCATTCAAGTTATATTTTGAAATGTATAAGGAAGTTACATATCATCTATGAATTATATTTCAGTAAAGCTGGAAACACAAAACTGCTGTTATAAAATGAGGATATTTGAATCTACCTGATTGAGAATTTACCCTCCATGATCTGCCCCTCCTCCCCCTCTTCTGTCTTCATCTAGCCCTGTGTCTGCGCTCACTGTACTCCAGCCTCACCGGCTCATTTGCTATTCCTGGATTCACCAAAGGACAATCCTGCCTCAGGTCTCTGGACTTACTGTTCCCTCTGCTTGGAACGCTCTTTTCCTGAATATCCACATAACTGTTCTCTCTTCTTTCAGGTCTCTGCTCATTTTTTTCTACTCTCTCCTTACCTTCCTTTAATTAGCTCCATTATATTTATCATCATCTGACATACATATTTATTATCTACCTCCCTCCCTATAGCTAAAATATAAGCTACACAAGTTGGATTTTGTATGCACAAATGTGTCCTTAACTGCTAGAACTCTCTATCATATCACCATCTTTATTCTATTGGCCTCTTGCTGATGGTAGGATACATCTGTGAATACAATGCAAAGTAATATTGCAAATTTTGCAAAGCTTGGAGGATATCATGACACTGATAGTGATGTTGGAGAAGAAACAATGCTATTGACAAATGATCTGGTAGAGTTAGACCAGCTAATGACCAAAGACCAGAAAGCTGACAAGAAAAATAATACCTGAGGCACAGTTCCAAAATTTTACGTCTTTTAAAACACACTTTACAAAGCAGGCAGCTTAACTTCTCTATTTCTCAAAGACAGAGTCCTTCAGGTATGACTTCCTTAAACTTCTGTTCCAACTAGTTTCAAAATTGTCCATATCTTTACCTTATCTTATGACTTCTATTTCCACCCCAAATTTTTCCTGCGGCCTTAGTCGCACTTCTGGTCTCTGGATCCATACATCTAACTGCCCACTGATTTTTATTGTATGGAAGTTCAACCGTATCATTCCTTGCTACGTCCGAAACAGATCATTCTCCATGACTCCACCACTTCACTCACTAACAAATCAGGCACCGAGTCTTACTGATTCTACCTCTGAACAATTTTCCAGCAACTCCACTCTGACCCTCCCTTCACTACATCCCAGCCACCACTATCCTAGTTCAGGGTGTCATCACATCTTGCCTGGTCTATTATAATCCCTCCTTATCTGGTTTACTCTGTTTTCCACTTTTGCCAGTTTGCCAGACTAATTGCTGATTTTTAAAATTATCAAGCACTTTCATGCTTTCTGTTCTGCTGGCAAGTTACTGCCTTTGTTCCTCATGCATTTCCCTTTATTATCTGATAATATGTCATCTTATTTTCCCTGATACCTTCCCCGCTCCTGCCTCAGGCAAACTGTTTTTTTATCCATAGTCCTAAGGAATGTTTTACATAACTCCTTACAGCACTTGGGATATTATATTATTTGTTGTATGTGACCTTTACTTACATTTCATATCTTTGCTGCCTAGTAGATTGCAGGGCACTCAGCACATGTTCAATAAACATTTGTTAAACTGAAGAAAAGTCAAATCCATAGAGAAATTAAATAGAATGCAGGCTGACCAAAAATCACTGAATTTGGCTATTATGTCACAAAAACCTTTGCCAGGGCAATTTTGGAAGTGGGGTGAAGTACGGGAAGTCAGTTGCAAGGCACAGAAGTATAACTAAGGATTTAGGAAAACTAGACAGTAATAATTTTTATTCTTTCAAGACATTTGATGATAAAGAAGAGAAGAGATGTGGTGCCAGACTGAAGGATTTTCAGGGTGAAATGAAGTTTGTCTTTTTCCCTCCATAAGAAAAGATCAGGTCCAAGATTTAGTCAATCACAGGCTAAAGGGAAGGGGCTAGAAGGAGAAACACATGAAAAGGAGGGCAGAATCAAAGGTATGGTTATCCTGGAAGAGGTGGGAGGGGAGCATACAGGACACAGCTGGCAGATTGTCCTCTGAAAAGAGAAAGAGCTCTATTTGAGATGAAATAGAGATGACAAAGGCAAGACCAGGTGATGGGTGACAGACATTTAGGCCGGTGGGAGATGTTGGGAGTCATACTCATAACTGATCATGTTCTTTTCTTTGTGTAGTTAGGGGCACAGTCATCTTCATAAAGCAAGTATGGCAACTTCAGATTCATTTGTTCAGTCAATAAATATTGACTGTGTGCCTACTATGTGCCAGGCACTGGTTCTAGGACTATAGACATAGACAAAGTTCCCAGCGCGTGGACCTTATATTCTAGTGGGGGAGGCAGACAATAACTAATATAACAAATAAGTGAATTATATAGTTTGCTAGAAGAGGGCAAGTGTTATTTTAAAAAGTACTTAACAACATTAGTGCCAGGACCCGGGTAAACACATTATTTCATATAATCCTTACAATACTTCTTTGAGGTATTAGCAAGATTAAGTCACTTACCCAAGTCCTAATAGAATAAATGAGAAAAGAAAGAATTTAAAATAACCACAATGAACTATGTTACAGAGACCCAATTAACAACAAACAAGAAAACAGCTGACCGAGTATCAGTCAGGGTGCTTAGTTGCAAGCAACTGAAACCCTCACGGGCTGATTAAACAGTATCCAATCCTTCTGGGTTTCTCCTAACATTGCCAAGAAGGGTGGCGAATCAGCTTAGGAAGATAGGCAGAATTAAAGAGTGAGTATACAGATGGAATCACAGCTCTAAATCAATCATATCACAGAGCCAGTCCAGTGAGGACAACAATTCACCTTTCCTGAAAACCACTGCTGAACTGCCATGGCTGCTGCCACCGGATGCTGCTGTTGAAACTACTAGCATTAGAAACTAGATAATGTTGGCCCTCACTGCCACTTAAAAATATTTCCTTGCTTTTTTGTAGATTAGCGTTAGATTAGAATTTAGGTGGATGCATTTGTCTGGATGAGCCCAAGCTATAGTCCTAAGCCTTAGCTGAAGGGGAGCTGGGAGAATGAGAATCTGGGTTTTCAGCTTCTGAAGGTAGGAGTCAGGGAGTCAGGGTGGGATGTTCTTCACATTAAGATTCTTAAAGAGGGGGGTTCAAAGGCTGGGCCACCTAAAAGATGACACATAGATATTACCCTACTATGCATACTAGAATCTTCATTGATTAGAGATAGTGTCTTGCCTAGGGCTCCATAACAAAACCCAGTACTATAAAGTTAAAAGGTTATATACAAATTGCTTAAACTTTATATAAAAACCAAATGAAATGCTTTATCTCTTAATAGTCAACTCCTAGTGATAAACTGCTTAAAGTAACAAGAGGCTTAGACACATTCATATCTCCCCAATGGATTTTACAGAATACAATTGCTAGAACCACTTTATAACATGCTTTACCAGGTCTTTCCAATTAAGGGTATTCTAAATTTGAATTGTTTTGAACAGAGTACCATGAGATGCCAAGTTTTAAATTCAAAGTACAATTTAAAAAGAATTACTCTTTATATATGCAACAGTGGCAATAAAATAAATAAGTCCCAGTCTCTGGCTACTGCTAAAATCACAGAACCAGTTGAACAATCCTCCAGAAAATAAAGGGTTATTAATTTTACATTTAATAGAAAAACTTGGACAATACCACAATCTTGTTTTAATACCCATGAGGAGTTCAATAACAATTAGGCATGCAACTGAAATTACCTCAAAGTTACAAAGGATTTCTATGTAGTTTTAATTATCCATATAAATTAAAGTGTAGTAAGTGAAGGGCACCCTATGGGTCAAATAAGTTTTAAAGTTTATCTTCTGTTGATTCAAAGAAATTTGAGAACAAAACTAAATAATACTTACTTTCTAGTCCTTTTCACATTTCTTACTGTTGTACAAATAAGAAAACAGATGTGAAACCATTTTATAAACTATAAAGCAGAACACAAATATTAATTATTATTATAAACTACTTATCAATTTATGGTATAGTTTTTTTTCCCCTCAGAAAGTAGAAATGAATAAACTTCCTAAAATGGGAGTGTAGGTGGATGAGATAAAAGAATAGACATTTGTATAAAGATATCATTTGAGTTTGGCTCTTAACAAATGCAGAGGAAAAGGCAATCCATTTGAAGTTCACAAGTATGAGAAAGATAACCCAAAAAGAAGAAACTTTAAAATATGCTGAAAATTAGAGGCAGAACTTTCAGTTCACTCAAGTTGGCTATGCTAAAGCAAGGAATACATTGGGGAAAAGCAACAGTCATTGACTGAAATGAGAAAAAGCTAGGTTGACTTTATTTTTTTTAA